CCCCCCCCCCCCCAAAAAAAAAAAAAAACCAAAATTCTTTATTCTTTCTCTGGATCCAATTTCGGCAATCCCAAAACTAAACGTCATAATTTGAAATTACAACATTTTATTCTAATTTTGTGGATCCACCACTGTTTATTTATTTTTTTTTTATCTAAGAGGTATCTGACGACTGAGATACACCAAGATGCTTGTCACGGTGGACTACGGCCATAGCTCAATTTAGGGCCTAGGTGACAATGTTGTGTACAAATCAGTTTGCTTCAGAAAAAATGCTAGCTTTTCTTGTGACAGGGACTAGCTAGCTAACCTTTTTTCGCCCTTGTCACATTATTCCAGCACTACGGTTTTTCTTATCAAGGCTTCAAGCCAAAACCATAACGCGACAAGAAGGCCATGGTGTCGGTGGCATTAGGAAAACTTAGATGATTAAGTTTTTTTTTTTATGGATTTTTAATGCATAAAAACTCATGTGGGGCCCGGAGTACAATGAAAGAGGAGGTGTGGTTGGAGGTGTGGTTTGGGGTGTGCCCCTAACACTACTCTAAAAATTGTGCTAATAGGTTGTTAGATTGTATTATTGCATCGCTAAATTATAGATAAAATGGAACAATACGTTTTAGATACGTACACTGATGGAGCAAATTATACAACAACATGTAACCGATTATGATATCCATTATGGATAAGCAGGTTGATCAATATTGGAGCAAAACATCAGTACACAAACTACCATGATTAACTGGGAAGTACGTAGATAAATATTGATGACTAAACAACTGGATTTTTTTTCAAAAACTTAATAATCATTTAAAAGACAGTAAGTGGTCCAGTAGAACCCCAGCCGGTCTAAAAAGCCTAAGAAGCAACCCGGGCCCATCGCAGCCCCTACTCGCTGTCCTCTACGAGAATTTCTCGATTTGGTCTTTTTAGCCCAGCCCACCGCATGTGACCAAGTGTGAACCCACACCTCCCGTTCTAGAAATCTTAGATGCACTATGAAGTTTCGAATTTTTTTTTTCACCTCGTTCTATTTGTGGTAAGGTAACGAAAGCTTCACAGTTACTCCACCTCCAATCTACCCACCATCCAATCCTAACCGTCCATTCTCTTGATCTCATCAAGATAAATGCACCTCCACGAACTACAATTACTAACAAGTACAGCAGGCAGATTGGAAAGATCGTTTGGTAGTATGCAAATGTGTTGACCGCAGATACATGTAACCGACCCATTTTCGTCCGCTATATAAGTTTTTTGTTTGGTTGCAATTTGCTAGTTCAATTAATAATATATTTTTTTAAAATTTACCCATCGACAGATCTTGCCACTGCATCGGAACTTCAAAGTCATACTAAGGGTTCGTTTGGTTTGCAAAAGAGGCTGGTGAAGGCCTCTTACGCCTCTTTAAGAGGTGTTTTTGGCTGAAAGCCTGACAAAAACAGTGGTTTTTGTCAGGCTTTCACCAAGCCTCCATCCCAAACAAACGCGTCCTAAGTGTTAGAATTTTATATTCTTATCTACTCTCATAGTTTGGACATTTTTTTATAAGGGGCTGTTTGGTTCGTTTCCTTGATATAGAGAAATGCAATTCCATGTAAAGAAACACAAGTTTTGAGTTTTCCAAACTTTTCCAAGAAATAGATTGTTTTGCTTTGGTTCGCACATAAAAAATGGTGGGAAACCAATGTATTTATTTTTCTTGTGTTTGGTTCGCATAGAAAAAAAAAGAAAAACTTTTGTAAACAAAGCAGAGAAGGAAAAAATCTGACGTGGCAGAGTTTTTATCAATTTCACTTGGTTGGGGAAGAAAATCGGAGAGGGAAAAAAATCTTAGTTGGCGGCGATTTCAGCAGAGTTTTCCCTCTTCCATTCGAGCGAACCAAAGCGGCACAAAAAAATGGACGGAAACAAAAAAGCTGACGTGAAGGGCTAAAAATCTGACGTGGAGAGGTTTTCTGAGTTTTCCACCCCTTATAATAGCGAACCAAACAGCCCCTAAGTTGAAAACTTAACTCGGGTAGTTGTATATATATTTTTTTGAAATATACTTTAGATCCGTGGCCTCTTAGGTTTTGAATTAAGTAACTATTTCATATCAAAAGAGTCGAAGGCCATGCCATCACTAAGAAGTTGCATAGCAGTTGGAGGATTATAATTTTATATTCTAATATTTTTGAAAGCAGAAACAAATTAGATTATGCAATAACAATTGTATCAATATAGCTATTTGCAACTAGGAGTGACGTTAATTGGCCGCCCTAGCAAATTTTCACACAGATCACAACTCTCTTCGTCTCTGCATCTCAATCTACCGTCCGTTCTTATCGCGTCATCACGATTGGTGCAACTCAACACACAAAGTACAACGAGCAGATAATAGAAGTCAGGGCACCCCACTAGATTGCAATTTTACAGGGAAAAGAAACTTTTTTTTCACTTTTAAACTATTTTTTCTACCCTGCTTTGTCAGTCGAAAACCTGTACTTCGCTCAGCTAGAGCCGAAGGACATCCGCTCCCCTTAACTCTTTTACCCACTGGACAACTGGGCCCGCCCTACTCCAACCACCGACGGATCCGAAATCCGACGGCCCGAGAGGCCCTCAAGGCCCAATCCCGTGACCTCCACTCATCGAACTGTACGGGCCTCCGGCTAAAGGGGTAAACTCGTAATCTAACCACTGCTCGCTTCGCTTCGCTCTCGGGTGGATAAAATAAAT